CCTGCCTCAGGACCTTCTCCAATATCATGGGAGCCTACCTGGCACAACGGAGGCCAGAAGGGTAAGGAAGTTAACAGCCCTATGGAAAACACTCAACCAGGGGATGATGGGGGCCAGTAGACAATTGCTTTAGCTTTAACCTTTTAATTCTGGGAGGCATTTGTACACTTCTTACAAGGCAGAATCAAAGCCCCATTATCAACGGCAGCAACCTCCATAATGTACCATTAGTCTGGCTTTTCTTTTTTGTCTCATTCTCCTTCCCCACTCTCACTTCCTAGGATTCCCTCCCCAATGCCTTCCTTGCTCCCGAGTCCCTTGGTCAATCTCTGCTTGAGACTGATAGGCAACCAATAAAGTGCTCCATGAATTCATCATCTTGCTTAGAATCAAAAGGTAATTTATTAAAAGATTATTCCAGTGTTTCACACTGAAACCAGGCCTCAAGGAAAACTGAAATGAGATTCAATACCACCAAGTTCCTCGCTGTCCCTGTTCCTTCCCCAATGGTACCATATATATATATATATATATATTTTTTTTTTTTTTTTTTTTGAGAGAGAGAGAGAGACAGAGGATCTGAAGCAGACTCCATGCTGTCAGTGTAGGGCCTGATGCAGGCTCGCTCCCACAAATGTTTCCACCAACCACGAGATCATGACCTGAACCAAAGCCTCTTGCTCAACTGACTGAGCCACCCGGGCACCCCAATTAACGGTACTACTTTAAGAGAGAAAGATTGAATCTACCCTCAGTCCCAGCGAGAAAAAAATCCCAGAGAAGGGTTACAATTGATGACCCTTGGGTGGGTGTCCATGATCGGTACAGTGGGGAATGGGCACTATCATTGGTTCCTTGTGGGTCAGGCTCCCAGCCCCAGATCAAACCATTATGGCTGGGTGGTAGTGTCTGGGACTCCAGACATGGCCAGTGGAGGCCACCATTACATTGCAGGGCATTTCTGGAAATAGTGGAGGGATGGAGAGCTGGGGAAAACACCCGCCAGTTTTCTAAAACCATCACCAGTCACTCCCACTTCTTGCTTCCTCTTTCATGAAGCTTTCCTGGCTTCCCATTCCTCCGCCCAACCCCAAATTGCTGGTGTTCCTGAAAGTTCCTCTTCCCATTCTTACTCATTTCCAGAACCATTTAATACCATGGTAGAGCAAGGTCTTCTCCCCAAGTTTCAATCCACTGCAAACATTTAATCTAATCTAGTCATGGTAATTCCATCCCCTTTGGCAACAATTTGTTTGGGATGAACGGGCAGGCCTATACCAGATTAGACTGATGAGCTTTAAGGAGAAGCTTGCTTAGCCCTTCTAGGAAAGAGAAATGGGTCTTACTGTTGCCTGTTGGTTGGGGAAAGGGAGCATGCTGCCTCAGCTGCCCCCAAGCAGTCATTTTGTGATATGAGGGGAGCCAGTTTGGGTAGGTTTTGGTATGAAGTCAATGGCGAGCACAGCAGAGCAGTGAGACGGAAACATTTCAGGTTCCTAATGATGTTGTTTGAACCAGGGAATCTACTCACTCTGCCCTACCATTGGATGTCCTGCCATTGGATGTTGCATTATGAGATGATACATTTCCATATTGCATAAGCCAGTGTGAATCAGGTGTCTGCTGCTTGGAGCTGAAGGCATCCTACTTACTTCACACTTACTACTATGAATTCTCTCAAACTCGCTTTCCTTGGCTCCAGACCTATCCACATTCCCCAACTTTGCTCCTCCTCTTCCTGGGTTTCCTACATTTTTTTTTTTTTTTTTTTTACTTAAATAAGAATCAGGTGCCTACTATTATGCCAAACCTTATTTCAGACACAGCAGCTAGAGCAAGGTTGCTGTCATCATGGACCAGTGAAGGAGGCAGACAATAAACAAAACTATTTTCTGAATAAGTAAACTCATGAATAATGCAGAGTAAGAACTCAGCGTTGAGTGAGGAAGGTGTCATTGCCTATAGAATATCACACCAGAGACTGGTTGGTATTCACTCAGCAAACAGCCCTGGGAACTGAGTGTCAGACCCTGTTCTTGCAGCCCCCCTTTGGAGTCTAGAAGGGTAGTAAGACCCAGGGTCTGCCCTCTGGTGCCCAGAGTCCGGAAAGAATGGCCAACATGTACCGAGTGCTAATTTTGCCAGGCCCTGTTTCAAGTGCCTTTCGGTAACTATCTCATTTAGTTCTCACCGATCCTAGGAGTTTGTCCAAAGACAAAGAGCCCTGGACAACAGGCCTGGCACCAGCAGTCTGGCCAGTGACAAGAGCTCTTGGGTTTAGGCCCGGTCCGTGTGACTTTGTGCAAGTCACGGTCTCCCTTGTCCTCCCACGCTCTAGCCAGTGTCTGTAGCCTCTGACTCCTCAAGTTTCGGAGGCTCCCCGGGGTGCGAAAGGGGGTCTGAGTGCAAAGAAGGGAGGTCACTGAGAACAGCAGGAAGAGGGTCGGTGAAGTCAGTAAAGAGGGACCAGTAGGGAAGGAGATCCACGGCGAGAGGGTCAGACTCCGACATTCGCATTCTTCCCTACCCTGCCCTCTGCTCCCACGCCCTCGGGCGCCGCCGCCCGGACCTTCTCCTGGGCTCGGGAAGGAGGGCATTCCCTTTCCTCCTCCAGGTGCCTCTACGCTGCTGGCCCGGGCCGAAGGGAGACGAGTGCTTCGTGAGCCACGCCACCCGATTAGGCCCCTGCTCCTTTGGCCCAGGGCACTAGCAGTTCTGCCACTCTTCGCGTCCAGTTCCCCCTCGACTCCTGACCACTTGGTCTGCGCCGCCTGCATTCTCAGTGTGCCGGGCCCGCCCGCACTGCGGGGGAGAGGCCGGGAGCCGCCCACGCCGCGCTCGGTGCTCGGCGTCGCCGTCTCCCTGGGACGCGCGCGGGCTGCACGACGCGCGGGAGCCGGGCGGGCAGCCATGGCGCGGCGCGCGGGGAGGTAGCCGGGCGGGCCACGCACACCGAGT